AAAACATCCTGGTGGTGTCCTAGCTTTATTCCTGTCCTTTCTGAAGTGCTACAGTTAAACAGTCAAAAGTGGCTGTCTAGCATCTTTTGCAGAGCAGGAGAAGTATGGAGATAACCTGCCCTGTGCAGGATGGCAATGTTCCTCTGAGTTAAGAGGGCTAGAGGGATCCCCATAGGATTGCTCTCTAAGAGTATAATCCAGTCCACACTTATGTGGAAGCAAACCCACAGTTACCAGCGTTATGGAGTTCCAAATAAGCACATGTAGGCTCCAGTTGCACAATGATTTCATAGGCTTCAAATAACTTTCTTTTATCCCTCTTGCTTGCAAGCCATGCCAGAACAAGTATTTTTATATCCTGAACAGGAATTGGGAAAACTCATCTCCAATTATGAATATATAGTCTTTCTTCACAGTTATGACGTATTTCCCTACCCCAGGTTGTGTCTGCCTTTTGCATAATTCATTAAATATGAGTTCACCAAAATCACTTTCCATACCTTGCAGCAATGAAAGCATCATTCAATGCTTTAGAACTCACATAATTATTTAATACTCTCTGACAGTTTTATTAATCTTTACCTGCTCAATGACTTCTATGACTTTTGAGGTTCAACTAGGTTTAGGCTGTTCCTTGTTCTCTTTGCTGTTGTTTTTGCATCTAGTTGCTTTACAACACTGTCATCATCAGAGTCATCTCAGAACACAAGTTTGCCATCCATGATATAAATAATGTTGTCACTTGCTAAAGAAATTTCATACTTAAGTTTATTTAAACATTTTAATACATGCTTATATCACCATTTCAAGGTATCATACATTAGTGCATTTTAAAACAAAAATAAGTAGCCTACTGAGTTGGTCAATAGTCTTAGAATATTCCATGTTTCTATTTGTAGCTGCAGCTGCTAGAAGTTTTGAGTATACCCATCACTTTCATTGTTTAGGATCAGATCCTATGCTTATTTTAGACAGCACTCATCAGACAGTATGGAAGAGGCATAGCTGGTTGGAACATTCTGAGAATTGTAGGACTTTCTGTCTAAACAAGCATAGGAATTGCATGTTTATTCAGTCAACATTCTTGTTACACTCAAAATAATCTACCATGTAGATTTCACATTCTGCTTCTCTTAACATGTGTGCTGTTATTTCCTGTTCATTTTTTTTCTGGTGCTGAAACACGGCATTTTTATTATCCGTTGCATTATGTCTGAACTCGGCTAATTTCTTTTCTTGTACTTTGCTTAGGATTCCTCATCCATGCTGTAGTTCAATTTAGACTTTCTTCAACATCATGTTAACAGAAATATTTTATTATTGCCTTCATTTTAAAGAGGACTTTTCATCTTCGAGAGCAAATTTCATTGGATTTCTCAGTTAAGTAACTTCTGGATGTATCCTCCTAATAGGAGAAAGATAGATTTGTCTCTTTCATATGAGCATGATGACATATCAACAATTTTTGCTCTACATCTTGTCTTAGCACAGCACAGCACATATGTTAATTGTGTCTCATTCCATTAGTGAATGTTTCTGCAGAATCTACCATTAAAAGTACTGCTATTTTATCATATTCACCATTGCTACTCAGTAGTTTCCCCCATACACAGAGAGATGGGCAGAATGATTCTATGGCCTCTAGATAGCATCTAGAGGGCCACAGAGTTTTCAGAGTTCCAGCTTTGGCATCAGAAAAGAGCTCTGGCTAGGACTCCATGCCCAGAACTCCCTCTACCACTCTTCACAGGTGATGTGGAGGAAACTGTGCTGGCTGTCTCTGAGGTTGCTAGAGCAACTTTGGAGAAGGGATTGAGGATGGTAGGAAACCACTGCCACCAATATATGGCATAACCTGGTGGTACCGAAACTGTGTTCCTCCCCATTTGACAGTCAAATCCAGACATCTAGCTGCATCTAGTTCCACACCCCGCTAGGATGTCCATTTTCTTCTGAGATTTGAGAGCTATGGTGAATCTTATTGCACAATACTCTTAAACTACAATCCTATGCATGTT